CAATGACGTATCAGTGTAGGTTCATCAGTTACAACACATGCACCACTCTGCTGGGGGATGTTGATTATGGGGGAGGCTATGCATGGGGGGGTGAAGAGGGGGTGGTGGAAGGGGGTATACAGAAAATCTCTGTACTTCCTGTTCAACTTTGCTGTGAACCTAAAATATCACTTAAAAAAAAATTGTCATTCAAGCAAAGTAAAAAATAGTATCTCAATCCATACAATAACCCTGGGAGGTCGATACCATTACCATGCCCATTTCGCAGATGAAGAAACTGAAGTTTAGACAGCATACGGGATTTTTTCACAAAGTCAGACTAGCTGGAAGTCGAGAAAGGAGCCAGAATTATAATCCAGGGGTCTGACTCACCCATGTAACCCCACTAAACCCTCGAGGGAACCTAAAAAGTAGATACCTTTAGTATTCTTATGAGGCTGGGGAAATTCCGTTTCAGAGAGGTCTCGTGACTTTCCCAAAGTCATCCAGCTATCAAGTGGCAGGGCCAGGCTAAAACCCAGGGCCCTGTGAGGTGAGGCAGTGTCCCTCCACTCCACCCTATCTCATCATGCTGATGAAGGCAGAGGCGAGCTTTGCAAGGGTCTCCAGGGATGAGATCTGTTTTCATGTGGGGCAGCTCCAAAGAAAAGTGCAAGTTCTAGCCTCAAAAAGAAGCCAAGCCACAGGATGACTTTTTTGGTGACTTATTTCCCCTTAACCTTGAAGAGTCAGTGGGACCCAGGCCCAGTCTGCTGTCCCCCATGCCATACCTTCAAGGGAGTCTGCTTTTAATGTTAAACTTGGCTTTTCCATGTCTGACTTTCCAGGTTCTACTCAGATTTGGGGCCGGAAGATGAAATGTCTGTGGCACTGTAACGGACTGAGTGTACAATGGATGCTACAAGGCATTCTGCCCAGAGGCGGGGGCTAGCCAAGGTGGCCTCAGGTGGGCCAGGTGAGAGGCGGGGATTTTGTAACTATCAATCAATTTAAAATCCAGTCTTTAATCCTTCTGCTTCTGTGAGCTCTGATTTACACTGAAAATTAAAGCAGACGCTGCTTTCTGGGTTGCACCTCTTTCTTTAGATGGCAAGGGACTGAATTCAGGAAAAGTAGGCAAAAAGAATCGTAAGGCCTCCCAGCCAAATCCTGAGACGCAGAAGCATGCCTGACTTCCATGTGGCTGCCTTCTATACAGTGTAGATAGATTCCTCTACCAAGGGTGGCTGGAGGCCCTGCCATTCTAGTCTCCTCTTCCTCCTGACTCGTTAGAGCTACAGCTCAATCACCAGGGCTCATTGCTTGCTGGCTAATTTCATTCCTTTCCTGAGAGACCAGCCCCTCCCTCAGCCTCTGCCCAGTCCCAGCCCTAGGCGCTGACCTTAAAGAATTTATCGATTTTGCTGAGGTTGATTCTCTTCTTGGCATCCAGTTTGTAAATGTTACTGACATTTCCATCCATCAGGTAGAGACCAAAACCCATTACCTGAAGTGAGAAAGGGCAGAGCACAGAAGCTAGTCACATCTGTTGAAAACGTTTCAAAAAAAACCAAAAAAAACAACAAAAAAAGTAGGTCTGTGCATGTGTACTCAACCACACGGCCAGTAGCTACACATTCTATCATAAAAACCCATGAGTCTTCAAATAAAGAAAGGACACATAGATCTAATTTCAACCAGAAATTTGATTTCTGTGAAGAAACACAGACGGTCCTTTAGTATATTATGGCAGCCACTTCCTGAGTCCATATTGGGGCCAGAATCTGTGCTTAGGACTTTAACAGGAATTATCCTTATTTCTCACAACAATCTCATAAGTCCAGTTCTACACAATAACCTTATCCTACAGATGAGGAATTGGAGACACAGAGAGGTTAGCCAGCTTGCCAACGTCACACAGCTAGTAAGCTACAGAGACAGGATCTGAACCTGGACCTGACAGCAGCATCATTTATGCATTTAGATCCCTCTTGAGAGAAAGGACTGAGTGGTGTATCCCTGGGGTCCAGCACATCATAGGCACTTGCTAAATGTTGAATGAATGTAAAACTATTCAACTTTTCCCCAAGTAAACAATAATACCATAAAGATTTGGGAGGAGCCACTGTAGGCTTTCTTTAAAAAAAAAAGAATTCATTTCTTGCCTGACAATGTATAATAAGCAGGTCGACAGGCTAATTCTGGACATTCCAGTCCATTTTACAGTCTCCTGAATGCTGGCTTGTTTTGCTCCTTTTGTCAAACGTACAGGGAGCCTGAACAACTAGGTTGAAAGCAGCTTCCCCTGGCGCACAGTTGATATGTGACCGCTGGTAAATCACATCTGACCCATAAGGGAATGGACTAGAGGCCTGTTAAGATCACTTCTCCATTAGTTGCATTTTGTAATTCTGCCAGGCAGTGCACCAGGCTTTTCTGTTAAGGGTGAACAGCTCCCCCTGGTGGCACCTGTGTTCAACTAACTCAACCGCAGAGACATGAAACAGCAAAACGGTGCTGGGGCCACACTGAAGTGGAGCATTGAGAGGGAAGACGGCTGAGAAGCTGAGGTGTCCAAGGATTAAAGGCAGGCGAGAGAAAAGGGGGGCCTGAGAACTTGATGGCAGCATCTAAGAGTGCTTTGGGGACTGGAAACTGGTAACCTACGTGTGGAAGCAGCAATTCTGGGGAGAGCTATAGTCCAGGCATAGCGCTGTGGGTGAGAGGCCGCTGGACTTTGGGTGACTCCTCTGGATTTCTGATTGTGCAGAGGGAGCCACTGCGAACAACACAAAACCACAATGCCCTGTAAGCTCCATCGAGGTGATATGGATATGTAAGGAAGGGAACACCAGCAGGGCTGGGTTCAGAATAGCAAGAGTAACGTGGAAGAGAGCAGGAAATAGTAAAACCACCAGGAGAACTTTGAAAGACGAGGTTCTGAAGATGAAGGGGAAGATGAGGGGAAGAAAGAATCAAAAGGGGCTACGTAGTGTGTAGAAAGAATATGGCGAAGGTTGTTCATTTCAGTGCTATGGCTGTCTGAGAGAAATCAGAAACCTCCTAAGCAGCTAACAATAGATTAATGGCTTAAAAAATGAAAGCTTAGCCATTCGACATTATTTAACAGCTGCATAATATTTCAGTACATTTAATGAAATGGGATAAAAGTCACAAACGCATAATTTATGTATACTGCCTATGTTGAAAATATGTAAGCATAGAAAAAATGAGAAGGAAATACATCAAAATTCTAATAGTGTTATGTCTGGATGGAAAGATTGTGAGAGATTCAAATTTCTGTGCTTTCCTGTATATGACAGCTTTTCTACAATAATAAATATTACTTGATANAACAGCCCTTCCTCCTCCTCTGAGACCCACTCACAGGCTTTTCCAGATGCCCAGTGTCCATGGTACTTACCAGTCATATGAGTGAGGAGGGACCGGCAGCCTCTTGAGGGCTACAAAGGGCTGGAATCCAAGTAAAGCCAGGTGGGCGACCTCCCAAAACCTGCCTACTGACTGACAGCACTGACATTCTGTGGTTGAAGCTGGGTTTGGAGGGGTCTTTGGGGAGGGGCTGGGGAAACCTAAAGGGACTGTACCTCTTTTTCAACAGTGACCTGGCAACCTGGAAGCACTCCATGGTGAGGGACACCATGGTCATTCTAAGAGGCGTTGCCGCCTCACTTTCTTTCCACCCCTCTTCTTCTTCCTCCTTCCTCTCTTCCTCCTCAACTCTTTTTTTGAAATATATCATTGAGAAAACTATCTTAAATTGGAGGAAAAATCTTCACTGTCCTTCCCCAAGAGAAAAATGACAGCCTGCTTCACTCTCTTCTGTTTTCCAGCGCTGGCTGACCCGATACAGACTAAAAGCATGGCCACCAAATAAGACACATACATGTTCTGGCAAAAATTGAATATTTCAAAAGGAGCCCTGAAGTGGCCCTCATAGGAATACTCAGAAAGGTGATAGGCTGCCTCCTGCTCATACTTTGGCATTGGTTTTATTTTGAGTTACCTGTGTAGGAATGGGCATACGCTCACTCAAACCTAACTCCCCACCCTGGCCACGTCAGGTGGTCGAGAATTCATGCAGAAAATGTGAGGAAATGAGTTGAGCGTTCGAGTCCATGGTTTTCCTGGAAGACCTCCCCAGAGACTGGCAGCCAGTGGGTTGTTTAAAGACTACACTGGCTTTCCTTGCTGAGACTCAGTCACAGAGGCTCAAGGCTGGTGGAGTTCAAGGATGCTGTTTATATATTTTTAAGGCCTCATCTCTGACTAAAGGATGGTGGCCCCTTCCCATATGGAAAGGTCAAAATCACTCAGCTTTGGGAGAGATGCAGTCGGAAGAAACCTCCTAACAACCCCAGAGATAAAGGCTGTAGCCAGATGTCCCCCAACTCCCATGAGGCACTGACACCCCAGATCTTAGTATACATTCCCTAGGATGGTGGCTTATAAAGCGACCTAAGGTGACGCTGCCAACCCACATCACGGTTGAAACTGTCCAAACCGTACACTCCATGATATACTTATTGTACAGACACAAAACCTGAGGAGAGAATCAGGGTGAAGAAGAATGATGCCATCTCGGTCCACCTGACCACTGAGGGCCGGCCATGCCTCCCCCTGCTCAAGGATGGAGGACTCCTGCTGTCCCACTGTGGGCGGCGTGGCTCACGGCGGGGACAGAGAAGGGGGCGTGGCTGTGCTCTGAGCACTTTTGAACCCTGGCAGCAAAGGGCAGATACAAAAGCGCTCAGAGCACCCTCCGCGGCTCCCCTCTGGAATCCACCTGCCCAGGGCTCTGGGGAGGGGGGAGGGGCTGAAATGGCCCCTCGGCACCCTGCCCGGGCTGGGCCTGCTCGCGGGAGCCGAGAGACATTACGGCAGGCACTCACTTGGACTTGTTCTCTTCATAGTGAGCACTGGTCTTAATGTATCTGGCCAGCTCTATCTGCATGTCGCCGAAAAGGGGCACCACCTGCAGCTGCTGCAAAGGAAGCAAACACAGCGCATGAGACGCCGAGGGGGGAGCTGGGAGGCTGCTTTCCAGCTAGGGAGGCAGCCTCCATGTGCCTCTGGGCTGACCCCTAGTTCCTGCTTCTGATGATGCTTCCGTGTGACCCTGGAACCAAAAACAGCCCCAGCCAGCACACAGACCCTCTGCCTCCAACCAACCCTATGTTCTAGCAACTGAGCCCCGAGAGGCAGAGTGACTTCTCCAAGGTCCCACAGCAGGCAGAACGGTTAAAAGATAAGGAGCAGATGGCTGGCCTCCCAGGGCAGGATCCTTTCTCAGATTGCTGCCTGGAACGCTGGACTAGAAGTGGGTGCCTGGATGCTGCTAGCTGGGTATGGTGTTCCTGACAAAAACTCCACAATGTGAACTAACTGAAATTGTAACGCCAGACATCAGAGAGCAGACAAGTCCCATATGAAGACCAGGACAAACGGACGGGAGGCCGGCGT